TTTGGTTGCAGCCATCATTGTTGTTTGGCGGGTCTGGGCTGGGGATTCGAACCCGCCACCCTAGGTGTACGTGGCTGGCGCCTTAGCCGGCTGAGCTATAGGCGCCGAGCCGAAAGGAAGACATTTTGATGACATTCAGGACACTAAGGGTAGTATGATGATAGCTTTGATGGTCACTCCAGAAAAATGGTTCCAAAACTGCTATAAAGGGTGGACTGGGTGCTGGCAATGGTGCATAGTTTCCCAAGGGGAGTACTTTGAAAGTGACCATAGTGATATTCAGCAATGAGGTATGCAGCACTTTTTCTATGATAAGTTCCTGAACTTAATTGTCAGACCTCACTCATACTGTTAGATAAAGGATAGAATGGGCTCAGCGCTCGTAGTACAGTAGTTATGGCACTGGCCACATACACCAAGGCTGGCAGGTTCAAACCCTGCCGGGGCCAGCTAAACAACGACAACTGCAACAAAAAAAATAGTTTGGCAGTGTGGCGGGCACCTGTAGTCCCAGCTACTTGGGAGGCTGAGGCAAGAGAATTGCTTAAGCCCAGGAGTTTGAGGTTGCTATGACCTGTGGCGCCATGGCACCAACGGCAACATAATGAGACTCTTTCTCAAAAAAAAAAGAAAGATAAAGGGTTGAACCAAGGGATTGGGAGAAGGGAGATCAAGAGTACGGCAAAGCTGGAGAGAATTTTGCAATAGAGGATTAGGTAGGTGCAAGCTGAAGAAAAGCAAATGTGGGGAGTGAAGCTTTTATCGGGGGTGAGGGTAGGGCTGGCAGAAAAAGTGTTTACAAAGTAATAGAATAAAAAATGATCTGGAGGTTGAATACTGATGAATGGCAAAGAGACTGATTACTAGATTATATCAATAGTCTGGGAGCCAAATAATGAAGGTTTGGAGTAACAGAACGAATAGAATTGGGATAACAGAACGAATAGAAAAGATAACTTTTGGAAGGACTAATGTCCTCAAATAAAACCTCTATGCAAAACACTGGGGAAAGTGCCCAAAGTGGACAACTGTTGGCCTAGACATCAGGACATCAGAAACACGGTATCCTGGCAGATTAGAACACCACAGACAAATTTCAGAGGCTCCCCAGTAGGAAGAAAACAAAGTTTCTCTCAGAGGTCATGATTTTCCAGTTTATTCCTAAAGAGTTAGGGATGGATGGGACAGAACAGCCAGGGTAGCAACAGTGACACTATTATCATAAGTTCTTACCAAGACCCTTTCTGGCCCCAAGGAAGCAGCCAATGGACAAAGTTTCTGAGAAAAAAAAAATCCAATATATTCTTCTTATACAAATTAAACTTGTAAGTGCCAATGGCTGCATGTAGTTCTCAGTAGTCAGAAAAGTGACTGGGGATTCCTCAGCTTGGTTTCCCTCTTACAAATTTGTTAATTTGATTCCTATTATTATATCTTTTTTCTTTCTTTTTTTTTTTTGAGACAGAGTCTCACTTTGTCACCCTGGGTAGAAGTGGCGTCATAGTTCACAGCAATCTCAAATTCCTGGGATCAAGTGATCCTCTTGCCTCCTGAGTAGCTGGGACTATAAGGTACCCACAACACCTGGCTAGTTTTTCTAATTTTAGTAGAGATGGGGTTGTGCTTGCTCAGGCTGGTTTCAAACTCCTGAGCTCAAGTGATCCACCATTTTCAGCCTCCCAGTGTGCTAGGATTACATGGTATGAGCCACCATGCCCAGACCACTTTTTTTCCTTGTATTTATAGTAACTTAGGACTGTGTCTTAGATATAGTGATATGTTGCTAAAATGGTGGATTCTGTTAGGTTCCTCTGAAGAATATTCATTTTGTTTGTTTTTCTTTTCTTTTTTTTTTTTTTTTGAGACAGAGCCTCAAGCTGTCCCCCTGGGTAGAGTGCCATGGCATCACGCTCACAGCAACCTCCAACTCCAGGGCTCAAGCGAGTCTCCTGCCTCCGCCTCCCAAGTAGCTGGGACCACAGGCGCCCGCCACAGCGCCCGGCTATTTTTTGGTTGCAGCCGTCATTGTTGTTTGGCGGGTCCGGGCTGGGGATTCGAACCCGCCACCTTAGGTGTATGTGGCTGGCGCCTTAGCCGGTTGAGCTATAGGCGCCGAGCCATTTTGTTTGTTTTTCCAGTGAACAGTTAAGCTTGGCTAAATGAACTCAAACTCCAAATCCTAAAAATCCAGTTTTTTTCTTTCAGTCTTACCTGAGCTGCTTGGAATTTGCCCTTGCATATGTAGTTTAAAGTCAGCCAGATCCATGTATTTAGACAAAGAATACCCAGAATTTAGGTTTCCTTCTATGGATTTCTCCTTTTTGGGACTTTTCTCTCTCCTTTCTAGCTGCTGTGGTTACCATGAATTCTGTCCTTTGGTTCCCTAAGCCAACAGGACAGAAGGTTGTCTATTAGGCTTTTAGTCACCCAAGTGGGCAGACTGGGGCCTGTCTTCTGACTTAAAGTCAGAAGAACAGAAACTTGCCTAGGAATGGAAATTAACCTCTTCTAACTATAGAAACCCCTCCAGTACCTTTCTTCTTTTTCTTGCTGTCTGGTGCCTCCAGATAAGCTATTTTTCATGTTATGCCCAAAGTTGATAGTTATTTAAGGGAATAGAGTTGGTGTAACAGAAGCTACTCAGTCACTAACCAGAAGCAGAGACAACTGGACCATTTTGACAATATTCAATTTATCTTAAAATACTCTACTGTGACTGATCTTTTTCACAATAACTGAATACAATGTTCTTGGCAAGATAAGCAAGCATATAGCATCTGATGGTAAAAAGCAAGACAACCATATTTACATATACTCGCTTATCTTTACAACAACACTGTAAAATCAGAGGCATAACCTCATCCATGCTACAGAGGAGGAAACCAAGGACAGGGAAAGCTTACCAGATAACGATGTTGTTCATGATAGTGGTACCAAGCAGAGCTTCCTGCATCCCTTGGACTTCAGCAAAAGTTAGTACAGTCTCCTCAGGGGGCATCAAAAACTGTTTTTCTTTGCTTCTACATTTAGAACAGTATTAAAAAATCAGTACTTTGCACCACCAAAGCAGTTTCTTTTCTTTTCTTTTTTTTTTTTTTGAGACAGAGCCTCAAGCTGTCCCCTTGGGTAGAGTGCTATGGCATCACAGCTCACAGCAAGCTTCACACCTGGGCTCAAGC